ACAGTTGTGGGTTCAATTCCAGACCTGAAGGGCAGCTAGGGGCCATAGTCTCAGTGGTTCCACCAGGCTCAATCGGACCAGCAAACCTGGTCCCCACCTTTTTTTTTTCTCTCCAAATGATTTTGAGTTTTGTTCCACATTGTTCTCCCTCTCTATCAAGGATCTCCTATCTGGCTGTACTTCTTTTAAAAAAATTTTATTGTGATTTGGGTGAAACTTTATAGCGCAAATTCATTTTCCAACAGCAGTTCATATACATTTTGTCTCATGACATTGACTGCAATTTCTTGCCATGCAACAGCTCTCTTTCCACTTCCCATAGTTACCTCTTCCTTGTGTCCTTCCCTCCCATGCATTCCTGCCCCCTGAGCTGTCTCCTTGTGCATATACAGCCCTTCTATTCTCCCATGATTGATTTCTCCAAGGAGTGTCTCTATCTAATGTAAATGTTTTCTTGCTAATTTTGTGCCTGAATGAAGCCCTTACCAAAAACCAAAGTAGTCTCACTTTATATTTGTTAGTGATAAATGTGTTTTAAAAATCAAATCTTTGATCATTTAGAACAGGGATCAGCAAACTATGACCTGTGGGCAGTTGCCCAATTTTGTACATATAGTTTTATTGGCACATAACCACACCTAGTCATTTATGTATTGGTTTTGGCTGCTTTCATGATACAACAGCAGAATTGTGTAGTTGCATAGTTGTTACAGAGAAGTTGCAACAGAGACCATATAGACCACAAACCTAAAATATTAATGTAACTCTTTAAGAAAAAGTTTGCTAACTCCTTATTTCAGAAAAACACTTTAGGGTTTTTCCCATAGAACTTAATATATTTTGGAGAGGAAGGTAAGAAATGGGAACATTAAAAGTTCTAGGAAGCTGAAAATATTGCAAAGGTTTTTAATTAAAAATAAAACTTGCTTGATACACTGTACAGTACTCTTTATGAAGTAGTCTTGCCAAAAGATCAAAGCTAAATCTGATGAAACCTCTGCTCTAGCTTCTAGTTTACAGGAAGTATAGAGGACAGAGAAACATATTAAATAAAACCATGGTGATATTATCTGCAAAGTCAACATTGGAAATTTGACAGGAAAAATACCTCTTATTTTTCCCTTTGCAATTTCTCCATTGAATAAATTGCAAAGGGAAAAATGAGAGGCAGAGGTTAAGAGATTTAAGAGACATTATTAACCTATTGCTATTGGGTCTTGCTTCAAATCAGTGAACTTGGAAAACACTTATGAGGCAATGAGGAAATTTGAATAGTAGATGGTTAAAGAAATCAAGGACACATTGTCAATAGTTTGAGTGTGACATGTTGTAAATAGAAGTGATTTACCAAGAGGATGTGAACTGTACTAGCAAAATTTAAGTTACTTTCTCCCTCTGCAATGCTTTGTGAACATAGGCTGAATGAATAATGTTTTAATGAATTATAAACGGAGGCCAGAAATGTAGAACTGGGACCCTGTGTAATCAGGGATTTGTTTATCCATCTATCTGAAGCCACAGCAGTAGTCCTAATGGCTCTAAATATTCTAAATGCCTCTTTCTGTTTATATCCCGCTGCAGAGAAGTTATTCTCCAAATATAATATTGATTCTAATCAACAAGAGTGTGTGTGAGATAGAATATGCTGGAACACACATAGAGTGTACATTCTTTCCTAGGCATATCAT